GGCGGCCGCACTTGGTCGCCTCCTGCCCAACGTGGGTGGACCGGACCATAAAGTCCGGAAACTGTACGCCAATGTCGTGCAGTCGGTGTCCCCTGTACGGGGGCACCGGTATGGGCCGATAAGGTAGCGGCCAGTCGGAGGATCAGAGCGTCGATTCAACAACTTCAACGCCGACTGGCCGTGAGAATAATACGGTCCTACTGCACGACATCGTTCGTGGCGGTCACAGCCCTGGCGGGCGTTATCCCGGTGGAGCATCTGGCGAAATTGTACGCCGAAGTCTATCGGCGTACAAGGGACCCGGACCGCCCGGGAAGCGCCCGTCTAAGACCAGGGGCTGTGGAGAAAATAAAGAAGGAGGCCCGTCGCAGGGCGATACTCGCGTGGCAAGCTGCTATCGAGAGCTCTGCGGCGGGGAGATGGACCACCCACGCCATCCAACCCTGTCTACCGGAATGGGTGGACAGGCGGGGACGGGGACTGGGGTATCATCTTACACAGGTTCTCACCGGATACGGTTGTTTCGGTGATTACCTGTGTAGGATTGGCCGGGAGCACACGACAAAGTGCCACCACTGTGCGGCCGGTCGGGACTCGGCGCTGCACACTCTCACCGAATGTGAGGCATGGACGATCGAGCGTCGAGCCCTGACCGCAGTGGTCGGCGAAGATCTATCCCTCCCAGCATTGATTCAAGCAATGCTGGGAGGAGAGGAAAAGTGGCAGGCCGCCTTCTCCTTCTGTTCGCAAGTTATGCGAAAGAAGGAGGAGGCGGAGAGGATTAGGAGAGGAGAGGCGGAGGACCCTAACCTCCCCTCTCCACCCCTCTCCCAAAGAGGGGGCAACATCAGGGGCGGCGGCGGCCCTCCTCAGCCAGTTAGGCGAAGGAGAACACCCCGTCGTCGCCCGGCCCACTTAAGGGCCTGAGAGCCAGGAGGAGGTAGGAGTGGAGCACGCCAAACGCTCCACTCCTCATAGGAGTTGGTCGGGATCGGGGGATCTCAGCCAGCTCCAGCCCCCCACAACATCACGGGAGGGCCGGGGGAGGTCGCGGTGACCCGACCTCCCCCAAGTAGTAGGTGCAGACACAGAGGGGTGGGACATCACAAGTCCCACTCTTGAGAAGAGGCCAGGAATGGCCAAGCCGGAGGGGAGGTAGGACGAATACTGCTAGTGATACCCTACCTCCCCTCAATATGGCAAGGATGGTCACCGGCGGGGGTTTTAGTGGGTATGCCCAGGGACACCTCCCCTGGGAGAGTCCCACATAACCCCCGGTCCCCCCCGAGGGACCGTGGGTATCCGTAATGGATTTCCCCCGCCTTAACCAAAAAAAAAAAAAAGGACACTCGCCTTACTCGATTAAAAGCGCTTGTTTCTGAGCATTTGCCGTCCGCAATGTGTTTACGTCGGCTCGATGGTAGCAAGACAGAGACGTCCGCTCTCTCTCTATAGCCGAACGGCCGAGCGCACACAGACGCGTGACGTAAGCGCTTCTTACTTGTGTTGGGGCTCGAGAGCCGCGAGCCCGGTAGTAGATATCGCATCACTGGGTATTCTTAAACCACATTAAAGGCTTGTGATCGGTAACTAGTGTGAATTTTCGTCCGTATAAGTATGGTCGAAATGTTTAACGCAGTAAACTATTGCTAATGCTTCCTTTTCGTATGTATCGTATTTCAGTTCGTTATCTGTTAAGGTACGAAATGCATAGCCCACTGGACGATCCTTATTTATTTCTCCTTGCGATAATATTCCTCCTACTGCTATCCCAGAAGCATCCGTTGTTAAAATAAATGGTTTTGAAAAATTAGGATATTGTAATACGGGCTCTTTACATAATAATTGTTTCAATATTTCG